ATTTTTTTTAAATAAGTAAAAAGTTTTTCTTGAAATAAATAAAAAAGAAAACACACTATTAGAAATTTTATATTATGAAATTTTTTTATAATTACAAATTCAGAATTACAACATAAAAATTTTATTATTATTTGAAATTATTTTGAAATATTCATAAAAAATATTTGTTTCTTTATCACTCGATTACAAATATTGTTCTACAATTCAAAATAAACTTTGAAAAAAATTTAAACGTCAATCAAAAGTTTTATCTACATTGCACTTTTTTAAATAATACTGTATAGAAAATTACGTAATAAATAGCTACATATAATGATGACTTATGATGGGAAACAAAAATATGGCGTTACATTTACTTCGTCAATCATGACAACTATTTTCATTAAAAATATATAAAATTTTTTAAAATTTTATAACACTATATTCACTTTAACTTTATAAAGAACAATTTTTAAACCATTCTTAGTAGATCAGTATTAGATAAACATTACGGCTATACATATTTTTGTCAATTCAAATTTCTACCATAGCTAAAAAAAGTCTAATAGTATGAAATCAATTCAATGCATATCTTATTATTTTATTTTATGATATAAAATTTATAATTATGAATATAATACGAATATAACAAAATTAAGGAAAATAAATATTTCATTAATAAATATTTCAACTTATATTATTTGTATATTAAAATTAACAATAATAATAATAAAATATAATTAGTATCATTTTAGAAGTTATATAATAATTTTGAAATAAAAATAATTTTTATGAAATTGCAAAAGAAATATTGTATTATTTATTCAATTAATAGTAACTTTATATATTTATATGTTACATATATTATTTAGTGTTTCAGAAAAATGAAAAATTCAAAAGCACTGTGTTTAATATTTCTTATTATAAAACTTTTAAAAAATATCTAAAATTTTTGGGACAGTATCCAAATCAATCACGATGGAATAAGGAATTTAATACAAATGTGATGATATGCAGTTTAATAAGTTTTTTAATTCCAGGGGTAAGTGAAAAGATTGCAGTTGCTTAAATATATATACAAATTTCAATGAAATAGATAAAAACATGTTATGAATATAATTTAATTTAACTAAATAATATTATGATATAATAAAAACTTTTTATTCGATAGCTGTTACGAGTTTACACATCAATTGTAGAAAAGAACTTGAATGCTTTGATGGAAATTATACCCATAGTGTTTGCCACAATAAGTTGTGCAATAAAATTGCTAAATCATAGAATTAATAAGAAAAATGTATTTATTTATTTAACTTCATGAAAAATTCTATGGTGAAAACAATCATAGAATACAAATATATTTTTCAGTTTGATAAATTGTTCGATCTTATGTCAGAAGAATGGGAAATGAAAAATGATAAAAATCAAACATGTATTCTTGATGAATTTACTAAACAGGGAAATAAATTTGCCGAAATATATAAAAGTAATTGTGATAGATCATTTTTAAATGAATTTTGTATATCCTATATATTAGGATATTTCTTACATATTAATTATCTTAAATAATAATTTTTTAATTGTTATTAATATTATTTTTAGATGTTTTATTGTCAGCTTTGCTACTATTTTTATTACTTCCATTGTTTCCTTCGTTTTTGGATATTGTTTTCCCGCTTAATAAAACTCGCCAACAATTACAAATATTTAAAATGAAATATTTCGTAAACGAAGATCAATACTTTTATCCTATTTATTTCCATTCAGTTTGGGGTTCATTTGTAATTATAATGATTACTGTCACTATAGATTCATTATATATGCTTATCATACATCATGCTTCCGGTTTATTTGCTATGTACGGGTAAGTAAAATAATATAAGAGAAATATTTCTGTGGATAATATTATATTGTAAAAAATAATTTCATAAGATTCTAATTTAGTATATTATCTGTAAAAAATAATGAAAATGATCTTCTTTTTTTTAAATTATTTCCATTGATTAAATTTTCTTTAATATAAAATATTTATGAACTGTAAAAAAAAAAACTGTTATAAACTGTAAAAATATATATAGGTATCAGATTGCAAAAGCAACAGAATGCAATGATATAGACATAAATGAAAATGAATTGTTTAGACAATGTGTGATCATGCATAACAAAGCCTACAAGTTAGTAAAATAATTAATTATATAAAGTTAATTTCATTTCATTCATTTTTTTTTTTTGTTACATTTCAAGATTTTTCGAGATAATGAATAAAAGCAGTCGTAATAGTTATTTCCTCCAATTATTATTAACTATAATCGGCATTAGCATAACAGCTGTACAAGTAAGAATTATTAATTATTTTATTATAATGTTTATTGCAAAATAAACATTAATATATGGAATATTAAATATACTTAACATTTTTTATTAGATCGTTATGTATCTGCATAAACCTGAAGAAGCTTTCAGAATTAGTTTATTTCTTATAGCTGCACAATTTCATTTATTTATTATTACTCTAACTGGACAAGTGATTGCGGATCAAAGTTCAAAATTAGCCAATAATATGTATGTTCAAAAATATATTTCAATCATTTTAAAAAATTATCAATTTAATAATTAATTAATATTTTTATTAATATTTATATTAATTTTTATATAATATTAATATTTATATTAATTTTACAATAGATATTGTACAACATGGTATCAAATGCCTCCAAATATTCAAAAAATATTTCATATAATACAAATAAAATCTAGTAAACCATGTAAATTAAGTGCAGGAGGAATATTGGAATTGAATATCGAGAATTTTGGAATAGTACGTAATATTGTATAAAATACTGTTATATAATTATTTCATTACATAATATAAATAATGATCTGTACTCGATATTATATTTCAAGGCATTGAAAACATGTATGTCGTACTTTACGATTTTCCTATCTTTACAAGACTGATTCGTTATTAAAATGATTTTCTCTTGCTGATTCTGATTTTTAATGAAAAGGCATTGAACTAAAAATCAATTATTTATATGGATGTGATAATGCATATTTACTTTATATTGTATTATAATATTAAATATATATGTGTCAAAATACATCGAATAAATTTTCACGTAAATAAAGCATATATACAATAAATATATAAATCTTATGTCTTTGATACTATTATTATTAAAACATGAAAATAATATTGCATTTTTTAAAAAATATTTGGCATAATTATATAACTTTTAGATTATACTTACTTTTATTGTTTGTCTAAAAATTTTTTGTCTGGATTATCGCAAAATTTTAGATTCACTTCCTTGAATATTGTATTTCTACTAAACAAATATCTATAAATATTTAAATTTAATTATTTCATCATCAACATCACATTTTTATTTTGAATACATTTTTGAAGATCGATCGATTTTTATAGTAAATATAATTGATGTAAATTTCAAATTTTTTAATTTTATAATATATAAAAAGAAAGACGCTATCACTTTTTCAAAATATAAAAATACAAAATCTTTTTCTTAAGAAGATTTTTGTGTAAAAGTAAAAGTAAATTAAATTGTCACTACAAATAATAACTTCTGATAATTAAAGCTCGGGTAAGTAAAATATTATTATTTTTTTTCTTTTTTTCTTAATTTAAAAGATTTTGTTGATTAATTGTTTATTAATTATTGAATTTTTCAATAAACTGGAATATTAATTTAAAAGAAAAATAACAACTTTCACATTCTGAATTATTGATCTGAAAGTTCTAAGCAATGATAATTTATCATTTTTCATAATTTTTATCTCTACATATCACATAAATTTCTGATATGACATACAATAATATTGTGCAGAAAAGAAAACGATAGCTATCATTGATTTTTGATATAATGATATAATGATACATGTTTGTCCAGAAAGGACAATTATCGTTTGTTACAATAATCGAAGCGAATAATAGCATTGCTATAGAACGAAAAAGACCTATAAACTTTCTTTATCAATTTACCATACATTATTTTCTATCCTGACTTTATAAAGAATTCTTTTTTATTTTTCTCGACAGTTTTGTTAAAACGTATGTTGCTATATGTATACACTTTTTGCTTATACGTCTTTGTTCAACAAATTTGAAAATATGGATAGTAAGATAAAAAGATGCAAATTATCGAGATATATTTAAACTTTATTTTAATATAATCTTAATTAATATTTATATAGTATTTAAAATAGTTGATCAAAAAATAATTTTTTCGTGAAATTAATTTAAATTTAAAGTATTTCAGAAAACAGGAAGAGAGTATTCTAATATATTCGACATTCCTTACTATAAAGTTCTCAAGAAATATTTACAATTTTTGGGACAAGATCCATATCAAGAATGTAAATACAGAAATATTATTACAATTATTATGTTAATTAGCATGATAGCTATATTTATACCAACGGTAAGAAAAACATGAATGTTATAACAAATAGTGATATAGATTATAAAATAAAAAAATATGAATATAACAAATTACGCGTAAAATAAAGTAAATAATTAGGTAATATTGTTAAACAATTGGAACTTGGAATATGTTAGACATTTGAAATATATGTATCAATACATGATAAAAATACGGATGCAGTAATGGAATGTTTGCCGAATTTATGTGCAAGTATGAGCAGTGTTGTTAAAATATTGAATATATATTTCAATAGAGAAAATGTACGTGAATATATTATCATATAATAAAAATTTTCTTTTTTTTTTATATACAAAGTCTAAAAAAATATATATTTGTACTTATAGTTTAATAAACTATTAAAATTTGTGGTGAAAGAATGGGAGGAGCTGAAATTAAATGAATTGCATATTTTAGAAGAAATCACTATTCAGGGTAGTAAAATAGCGCACTTATATCGCAGTAAGCTATCGTATTTTAATTTTTTAATTTTAGAGAATTTTATACATGAATTTATTCTTATTATTTTGCATTCAACTATATTCTTTCCAGATACTTTATTGTCTTTTTTGATATTGTTTTTACTTGTTCCTATGTACTTTCCTATTCTGGATATAATTGATGCATTAAATCAAACTCGATCACGACAACAACTACTTAGAGTCAATTATATGCTTTTTAACGCTGATGATTACTTTTTCTATGTGTATTTGCAATTAGCTTGGGGTGCAATTGTTATCGTAATGATTGTAATTACCGTAGACTCTTTATCTATAATTATAATTCATCATATATGTGGATTATTCGCAGTGTGTAGGTAAATATCACGATATCAAAAGAAATATACAATTAAATCGTGGCTATTTTTTCTAACTATTTCTAATTCTTGATTATAAATTCAGCTACAAAATCCAAAAAACAATAAAAGATTTGACAGTATTTGCTAATACTGAAAAGTGCTCATATAAAGAATTAGAAAATTGCGTGATGAAGCACAAGAAAGCAATCAAGTTAGTATGTATCGAATAATCGATCAATTATAAAAAATTATCAAATAATTAACGAACATTACTAATTTTTTATTTTTAGATTTTATAATATTCTGAATAATAGTAGTCAACTGAGTTATTTGCTTCAAATTGGAATAAATATAATGGGTATAAGCACGACAGCTTTTCAAGTAAAGAAAAAATTCTAAAGTTCAGAAAATGAAAGCACAACAAAATTAGAAAAGTTTTAATCGGAACAATAATTTTATATTTTCAGTTAGCCGTCAATTTAGATACGAGACCACAAGAAGCAATCAGAAACGCTGTATTTTGTGGAGCCAATCAATTTCATTTATTTGTGCTTAGCTTACCTGGACAGATACTTCTTGATCATTGTGCCGAACTTTCCAATACAATGTATGTATATGTAATACAAAGTCCTACAAAACACAAATAATATATATTATAAATTATATATAAAAAGATAATGTTTCATTGGCATTTCAACAGATATTGTTCTATGTGGTATAAATTACCAGTAAAAATTCAAAAAATGTTTAACATAATGTTAATGAGAAGTAAAAAATCATGCGCGTTAACGGTATACGGATTGTACGAATTGAATATGGAAAACTTTGGAACAGTATGTACTATAACATTTATATAGATATCATAATTATTATTAATTAAATTTAATTTTTATAATTTTTTCATTTCAAGACTTTCAAAGCTTGTATATCATATTTTACTATGATGCTGTCGCTAAAATAATACAATGTTAAATAATTCATATCAAGAGTTTCATCACATAATGTTCTACTTGATATTAAGTCATTTACATCAAACATGCAAATAAAATTAGTATAATCATTACCAAAATTATGATCTTCATTTTATTCCACTGGATTTTCTAGCACTTTCATAAATATTTATGTTTATGTACTAACATAATTCGTTATAAATTAATTCGCAAAGAAAGCTGAAACAAAAAAAAATATTTTAATCAATGATGATGAATTATTTTTATTTTTAATGTCCATATCATATAACTATATCATATAACATATCATATAACATTGTTATACAAACACTTTTCTTTTTCGATTAATTATTATTATAATATAATCTATTTATAATATATTTAAATAAGAGATTTTTAATTTCTTTTTTATTAAAGCAATGATTTAAATGATCTATGATAATTTATACATATAGATTATTATTATATTGTGAATTGTGCTCGTCGTGATTTTAACGCCTTGCAATTGTGATAAACTTAACTTATCAAATGATTCAAACGAAATAAAGAAATTATTAGTCTTGAAAAACATTGCTTGAAATGATATCTTTTTTATAATTTTTTTTTAATAAGAATGTAAAAGAATTCAAAAAAATTATTTGAAAATTTATCGTTTATCATCATTCAATGAATGACATTTATATGTGATTAATATCTCAAGATAATTACAAATCTTCCATTTCTAAATTAAATGACATTTTCATACGGATATTTATATTTACAAAATACTGTATCTCAATATCATTAAATGATATTTTAATATATATTTGCATGACTTACAATTGATAACTGAAATTAGATATTTAGTTTAAAAAATTCGTAGTTAGAAACCGAAGCAATTCTAACTACAAAACTAGAAAATACTACAAATAGAAATACAAAGATATTTTTAGAATTTATAAGAATTCAATAGAGTGACATGATAATCTTCGGTCTATTATCGAAGATCTGAAAGTACTAAATACAAATCAATATTTCAAGACAATCATGTACCTTTATTGCATTTTATTGCATAAGCAGATAACGTAAAATTATTGGAAAAAGAATTTTCTTATGTACGATACAATTGTTCTCTGTCTTGAAAATTATACTTTAATCTATATGTGTCAAGTAAGTGAATGATTTGTAATCATTTTAGTAATATCAAGTATCGTTCAATTACATTCGTTACATTGATTTTTACAGTTTTAGAAAGAAAAATATGTATAGATTTAGACCACATAGATTCATTTAAAGACGTTTACTTCATACTGATCATACAAGTTGCAACGTTGCTGTTTTGGAATCATGGATAGTAAGAAAAAAATCGCATTAAAGATTAAAATTAAAAAAAAAACTTATCTTTGAATATTGTAACATTAATGTTTATTAATTAATTATATTATTATAATTATATATTATATTATATTAATATAATTATATATTATATTATATTATTATAATTATATAATTATATTATATTATTATTAACATTAATATTAATTATTTCTATATATATTTGGAACAATTTAATGATAAATAATAATTTAAATTTATGTTCAGGACTTTCAGTATTTCAGAAAATTGAAAAACAGCATAATGAAATATATGATATTCCTTATTATAAAATGATGGAGAAATACATACGATTTTTGGGACAAGATCCACGTCAAAAAAGCGAATTTAGAAATATTATCGTATTTACATTGATAATTAGTATCGCAAGTATTGTCATTCCAACGGTAAGAAAATTATATTTTAAATAACATTCTAGAAAAAAAATGAGACGAAACTAAATAAAAAAAATTCTATGAATAAAATAAATAATCAAATAACATTATAAATTAAATTATTAGACACTTGAATTATATATATCATTACGTAATAAGGATATGGACGGTGTGATTGAATGTTTACCGCATTTTATCGCATCTTCGATTAGTGCCATTAAACTATTAAATTTACATTTCAACAGACAAAATGTAAGAGAAATTTATTATTTTTTAATAAATTCTTATAAAATAAATGATTGTAAACATTATTCATATTATTTTATAGTATAACATATTGC